AACAAACCTTTATTTTATAGTAATAAGATCAAGAGCAATGGAAAAGGCAATTTTATATAGTGCCTTTACTTTCCAACATCTCAAAGCACTTCACAGACCAGGACACAAGTCATGGATGAATTGAATGCAGAATCTTTAGAATACAGTAGAGTACATTCCCAAAGTTTGGAGATTTGGCGATGGAGAATCTTATTGTTTATTGCTGCTGACAAAAATTTCATGTGCCGAGGTCCTGACTACTTACTCTTTGAAGATCCCATGAGGCTGTTTGAAGATGGGGTGTCCTGGCTGAATTGCACTCTAAGTCGGCACGATGGGTTCGACCTGTATATATTTGCTACTTAATTCCAGTTCTTAACTGATTTGCTGAGTCATGGTCGTCGTCGTGTGACGACAGCCCTGTCTCACACAGCTGTGGTGGATGAACATGGTGCCATTCTGTATGTGCGGTGCTTTGGGACCCTAATGTGGGAAAAGTGCTATCTGAAATGATGCATAAACACCAGTTTCATTCTGTAGGGGATATTCTCTGTAACTGCGAAATGAGTTTTGCACCCTTTTAAGACTGTCTGAATTAGTACATCCCTCCACTTCTACGCAAGTTAGTTTTGTTTCTTTTGTAAACAGACCAAGAAAAGTCCTGATCCTTAAACTTGTATGGATCAACAGTACAAATTTAGAATGAATAGATCGATCTGATTGCAAATCAATGTTCCAGAAAATTATCGAGATTCTAGGCATTGACAAGGCCAACCCCCAGATCTTCTTCAGAACCGACAAACATAAGCACTAGTGGAAATTACACGGAAGTATATTGAGAATTGAGAACAGAGGACTTTTTTTTTCCCCAAAGGCTTATGAGTCTCTCTGACAATGTACCAAGCTCTGCTATCTGAGCTTATATCCAGATGTTTTTTTATCAAGAAACAGCTGCATAAGAACATTAGCATACTGGTATTTTATTAATCCACAGTAGGTTAACAGAATGGCCAGTTCTGGTTGGTAACCAATTTTAATTTCCTCTCAGGCAGGAGTTAAAAACTTTAGATTTTAAACAGTGTTTTTAAGCAAAGTTGCATTCAGTTTCCAGTCTTCAGACATGTTTAAATGAGACACATCTTAAATGAATTAAGTCTGAATGCATACAGGATCATCAGAACACATCCCCAGAGTTTGCAGATTTTAGCAATGAAGGGTGTGATTGTTAATTTCTGTAGACAGTTAAGTGGCATAATCACCAGTGTGATTATTAATCTTTTATTCAGGGATTTCAACCATAGGAACATGTGCCCAAGAGCAGATCCTCTGTTTGTAGATACAGAGGACTCTTACAGAGTGGCAAACTGGGCATATCAGGTACTTCAGGAAAAGAAGTACAGAGTGTTTAAAATCTGGACCAGAAAGTGTCCAACATTAACATCACTTAGAGCTGTTAAATATGTAACTCGCATATTATATATTTGATTGTATATTGCAAAATGTTCACTTCATCATAATCATTTTTGTAGAAAATACAGTATAAACTGGTGAGCAGTCTGGGTCTTAAGCATACTTTGAATTGTTGTTTGTTTCTACTGTAGTAGTTTGTGGTGCCTACAAAAGGAAATGTGAGTTTATGGAAATTCTGTAACTTGAACTCTGTAACAAATCTTTTCCTTGGAATCCAGAATCCAGCAGTTTTCCATTAACGGCTCTTCATCTCGGAGTGTTAAACTGATTCAATTAAAATTTAACTGGACAGGTTTATCCCATCTTCGTTGCCTTAAGCTGCTGCTGATTTAAAGAGATGCGGTGAAGAATGAAATGTAATACTTGACACAGAAGATCCTTTCTTCAGCAGAAATCCCATCTTGTTGCCCTGTCTTACTAACCTCTAAATAGATGTGGAGTAATCACTCAAGACATTTTAGATGACAAACTTTGTGCAGCTATGAATGCCTCAGATTCTGACTTCATGAAGACATCACCTCCCATATACTGTAGGTCATCCTAACTTGTTATGCAGCAGAATGTATCACCCATAACTCCTCAACCCTATTAAAGGTTATGATTCAGCACTGACTATGCTGTTGGAGTTTAAGTGGACGTTCTTTGTTTCGAGACATTTCTATGTGATTTTGCTGTTTTCTAAGCATTCTAAGTGGTTTGTATATATGGTAAAATATATGGTATTTTCTGTAAGTGTTGGGCTCCACGTAATACTAAATATTATACTATTATAATTTAGCAGGTTCATACAGTACTAAATCTTATATAAGTAATACATTTTTTTACACTTATGACTGATAAGTCTGACTTTTATTCGATACATTGTTGCTCCTCTCTGATTGTGACTCTATAGGTCCCCAAAATACATTGCTTGTCACAGTTTCTTGCTAAACTTGCTGTTTAATTCTTAGGGATTATGCTACCAAATTCTGACAAATTGGTAGTGAGGAGGGTAAATCAGTTGACTCAGAAAACAGTGCTCATCGTTTGCCTTAGCTCTCCTCCTGTGATCAATTTAAAATGAGAAACCCTTAAAACTGGCAGCTTTGTCACCGACATTAATATGTGTGCTACACAACACCGATCACAAAGTAGAGCAACTACATTCTAGAGCTGATTTTGAATTGTATGACATTCTGCAGCTGAGATTGAAGAATACATGTTGTGCACAATCTGGCTGTACTTGCTAATGCTCTGCTCTTCAGGCCTGTTATATAATAACAATATTACTCACCCTGTGTCCTTGCCTGTCTCCCCCAATTAGATGAGAAAGAAACCTTGCGCTATTTGACCCAGGTAGTGATTCTTCCAGCTGCTTTACTTTCTCAATTCTGTGGTATCTGGGTTATAATCTGACCCAGGTCATGTCAAATAAGACTGGTGGTCTCTGGTTACCTCATAATTGGTGAGCTAATTGAGGTGTTGCCTCTAACATTTAATGAACCCAAAACCATCTCAGCAACCGCTGAGTATAAAAACAGAATGTGTGAGGATTATCCTTTAAATATAGGACTTGTGAAGATGATTCCAGTCTCGCTAATCATAGCCTCTTTCTGTTGTTTAGCCGTCCCTTTTCTGTAAGGCTACATCAGCCTAAGCTGGGAAGCTGCGATGTGTGTTTGTGCCCGTTTTGTACCCAGAATAGAAGGGGCTGCGCCGCTGTCCTTGGCTCACGCCCAGGCCACCTGTTACCGAGTCGGGAAACCGAAACGAAATCGGCACGTCATGCGCTGACACACGAACCTGGAATGACGGAGAGACCCCGGTCCCAAATATAGAACAGATGATCTCCCCACCTAGGACTCCCTGCCCTAGCAACATGACTGCGGCTTGAGGAAAGGGGGTTTCTGAGGGTCTGATGAGTTTCTTAACGAAGAGTTCTGACGGGTTCAGTGGAGTGTGACCAGTCACTGGTCATCCGTTTTTTTTTGTCAACCACTTTGTTTTGGTTGAAAAAGAGCTGATTTGTTGTAAACAAAAAAAAAAATCATTCTGTGTAAAAACCTGAAATTCTACCTTGACTGGGTCAGGGTGGATGTTCAATACACAGATACTGTAGCTGTTTTTGTTTTGAACTTCTGCAAAGTGTTGACTACATGGATCTGCAATACTATATTCGGACTTCCAGTAAGCATCACATTAGGATAGGACAGACTGTGATGCAATTGAATCTGCGGTTGCTTTTGCCAAAGAGTATCAACAGTAGGTTTCAGATTGTGCTGTGTATTTAACAGTCTGTATTATTCCCTGTGAACTGAGGCTTTAGTATTTCTTCTCTATTCTGTTGTAATGAACACTGCACAAATGCTGACTAAGTATTCAAGAACAAAAGTTAGTTTCTCAAATTACAGTACATGAACAATTTGTTCTGTAGACACTCACCTGATCCTGTAACCCTAAAACATCCCAATCATGAACCTCAGAACCATGTCTTCGATATTTTAAAACTTACTAAAAAGCTGTTGATTTTAAGATTTTAATAAGCAGAAGTCTCCTAACAAATAACATCAGCTACTTTTATTTAGTAGATTAACCCGTTCAATAACAGAAGTAACAATTAGGAGTTTGGATTACATGAAAGACAGAGCTCACTGGGATAAATAGGCTCCACTCCAAAAGCCCAGTTTTCCCAAGTTGTTGAGCACAAAGTCTGAGATCTTCAATGTTCGCATTTCTCATGTCACTGCTGTCTGTGAGGCTTCCAGGTCTGGTCTTCAGCCAAATGTTTGTGTGCTTGAACCAGGCACCTGTGTATTCATTTGAAAACGATCACTGCATATAAAACACTCCAAAGTCCTCATTTGTATTTGAAGTATTTTGATTGAAAGATGGAAATGTTTTATATGTAGGGTGCTTCTGTGTACATTTGCATATGCAATTATCATGACAACCGTACTGTGGAGGATGAAGTTCAGTCAATATGCAAACAGGATGATGGGGGCATGAGAGCATGTCCTCAGTTTTCAGTAGACTGAGGAAGCAGCAGGTTCCCCAGCTGGGCAGCCTGTTGTGCACTCTCATCGTCCATGGAACCTGTGCACGATAGTCTCCTTTGTATGTGTGCACCCCTTACACAATATAGCTGTATAAGCCAGCTAACTTACGAAACTCACTGCATTAAATCTTGTTTGCATCTTGACCGTGCCGGTGTGTGCTTCTTCAGTATTGGCTATAAGCATGCAGCTTCTCTCAGTTCCTCGGCTTTAGCCGGAAGTCAGCAGCTCCTGCTTCTTGAAGCAGCACACCCACGCCTCTCATCCGATTTCCCAGTTTGTCTGCAAGTGTGTGTGAGCTGGTGTATTCACGAGGGGAGTTTCTACTGCAGTGCTGGGGGGTGACTCCTAGTCACGGTCTCTCAGCTCTCATCATCACAGCCGACTATTTCAGGGGCTGATTCCGGAGGATTGGTATGGAAGCCGGAACTGTGACTGCGGAGAGGGAGTGGCAAAGGGAGCCTGCTCTTGAGTGGGCAGCAGAGGGCTATATAAATCTCCTCTTGCCTGCCCGAGTTCAGAACGAGACGGAGACGGGGAGAGAGAGAGAGAGAGAGAGAGAGAGACAGACGGAGATCTGAGCCAGCAGCAATCTGATCTCACAACACATCCACAGTGCTTCAGCAGCGCAGCTGACAGACAAGCTCACGGAGAGGAGCTGCAGCCGGGAGAGTAGCTGATCCACGTGTGCCAGGACCTTCAAGTCGGAGCGCTGCCTGGGATTGGAATTTAAAACAGGGGCTGTCAGAATCCAAGCTCCTTTCTGCTGCAGGCCAGGCTGAACTGTCTCCTGCTTTCTCAGCTTGCGGATAGCCTGTGGGAGCTCTGGGTTCGGAGGAGCTCTGAAGCTGGTGAAGCTGTAACCGAGGAGTCTGAGCGTCCAGTACAGACCATGGCAACCAGGCACCTGGAAGTCGGCGGGTTCCAGACAATGATTCCCGCTCACCTGCTGGCAGCGGCCATGGAGGAGTTCCCCCAGCAGCTGCCCGTGCCCAAAGCCCCAGCCCGGGGCAAGAGCCGCCTGCGGCGCCCCCGCCAGTCACGCTTCAAGACCCAGCCGGTGACGTTCGCGGAGATCGCCGAGGTGGAGGAGGAAGGCGCCTCGCCGCTGGAGGAGGAGAAGGCGCGCAAGTCCTTCCTGCAGTCGCTGGAGAGCCTGCGGCGCAGCACCCAGAACCTGCAGGGTGCGCGCGGCTGGGTGGCGGCCTCGGCCATGCAGGGCAGCCTGGACTCCAGCGACTCGGACTCCGCGCAGTGAAGCCCGGCCAGCGCCCCGTCTGGCCCTGGGGCTCACTGCTGCTTCATACTGAAGCCTGACTCCACTTGAACTTTTCTTTGCCAAATATCTAGAACAAAACTGCTCTATGTATGTATATGCATTCGTATTTATTTCTAATTTATATATATAAACACATTTATATATATATGTAGCTCTGTATGCATTTGATGCATTATAAACTTCCTGAGGTTTAGTATAGGCTGGTAGAAAGCATAGGGAGCACAGTGTAGAGAATTGAACTCATGACAAAGTGCAGCACATCGCTATAGAATGGGGGAAGGACACTGCAAGCCTATCTTTAATGGTGATGGGAAAGGTTTAATTCCATAGTTGCTTTCTTTTATAAGATTAAAGAAAAATGTCTTTTTTTTATATGAAAGATAGTCACAGGACTGTCCAGCAGGATGCGTCCTGCGACGAGCAGTAGGTTGTTGAAGCCACTGGGAAGACTGAAGGAGTAGACGCCACATGAGCAAGTTATCAGTGGCCCAGAGGACTCGAGACTTGAATTGTGGAGTGTTTTAAGCAATGTCTTGCTTATTTATGAAGGGGTTTAATATAGGTTACAGCTGTTTAATGCTCAGAAAGCAGAGAGGGATACATGCCAGCAAGGCAAATTCAATCCTTCTAGGCAAAGGGACTTTCACTTCCAAACACAGAACAGAACTGGCAGGGGTCCAGCTCTCTGCAACGAAGCGTTTAACCCCATCTCCTTATTTTTGTATCTGAGAGAAGAAAACTGAACTGCAAGTTTACTGTGTATGCTTGTCAAATTCTACAATTATTTATTTAATAGAGGAACTTTTTGATATGGAAATGGAAGAAATATCTTTTTTTGTTTCTAAATCACTTGTAGGTTGAGAACTTTTTACTGTTTTTCACAAATGAAATTCTGAGAGATTTGTAAAGCTGGAGCTTTCTTATTTACTGTAATAAATAACTGAAAACAAATGAAGTTGTCTGGCATATTGATTGTAGCTTGCTTTAACATTTTGTCTGGGTGAGGCTTGGTCACACAACCAAGTACTTGGTGATGAGACACAGTATTGAAGTGAATGTGTCCATAAAATAAGTATTTTCACTTTTCCTCTTGGGCAATTAAAGTTTTCTTAAATTTCAATAAAATTGTTTTAATACAAATAAATACAAAGTGCTTTACATTCACTTCCACACTCTGTTCTTGAGGTCTGGAAATTCTGGCCCTACACCGACCCTTCCAGTGTTTCGGGAGGGACGTGATACAGTAAATGCTGCATGTGGTGCAAATAACATTCAACCACAAACTGGGAACATGATCAACTTTCTGTGTTCAGACAGACCCAGGAGAGACTGGTTGGTGGTGCTTTGTTTCTCTGTGGGGAAAAATGTGTATTTTTTTCAGTCTTTCTCTTAAACATCTCTGCCTCACATGTGGATCCTGAGGTTTACCATTTGTCAGTAACCTTGAGGGCTGCAGAACTTGAGAAATGAGTGAATGAATGCTCCTGACCTGCATTCCCCACAGCGCAGGCCTACAAATGAAATCTACAATGTACATTGTTCTCTGTGGTGATCGATTAATCTCAAGTCCACCACGTCTTACAGAGAAGTGACTTTGAAATTTAAGAAGCTAAACTTTCTTGTGGTTTGGAGAAAGTTATTGCAAAATGCCTGCTGCAGTTTTTCTTGCATGTATCAAGTGAATACACACGCCCATAGAGTAGATTACATTTTAAAATATTGAGCAATGTATTCAAATCAAAAGCAGTGTTGACAAATTTTGAGTATTATTAAATTTACTCTGAACCATAAAATATTTTTGGACTCTGTGTAAACAGGCTCATATTTTTAAAGTGCCAAGAGGTGCGAAAGTAAAAGATTTTCAGGCCTTTCCATAAGTTCCAATTTTCAGTTCCAGAGTATGAAATGCATTTAGAAATACATTTCTACAAAGTACTTTTATGTTCGGTATTTATCTTGCTAGAGGTAGGCCTTTCTGCATTTCATGTCCGTGTGTGAATCATGTTTTAATCCTCCGTTTTTAGTCCGTTTAGGCAGTTAGTCTCTCTCCCAGTCTGTGCCAGGGAGGGGAAGAAATAACAGAATAGAATACCTTAATGCCTGTGTGCTCGAGATTCTGGGGTAGGTAAGAATGGATTTCACCTCTTATCCTCTTGAGTGCTGCCACTGCTATCCATCACGCCCTAAAACACATTCGAGTTCTTTCTAGCTCACGTGTGAATCACTCTCCCTGAAATGGGAAGAGATAAACTACTGCCAATTGCCTAAAAGGAATGAAAGCATTTTAATGGAATCCAGATACGATTACCGATTGCCGTTCTCCAGGAGATTTGTGCCGTTTGTCACCACTTGAAAACCCGTGCCTCATCCTTCTTTAAAAATTGCTCAAAATCATTATGTTCTGTAATTTCTTATTTCCCAAATCTCTGGGGTTTCACTGGAAAACATGTTTTAACCTATTTTTTATATTGTTGCCTTGGTAACTGCAGTCCTACAATCTGATTTTTTTTAGATTGTGTGGGTCAGAAACGCTTTTCTGACTTTCCTTTCATTCCTGGGTAGGGCTCAAAGTAGTGATGATGATGATGATGATGGTTATTAGTTTTTGAAACGGATGCTGTTACATGTCGTTTTGATTAACTCGGTCTCATTTAGCCCACCCTGGTGAGGAACGTGCTGATCTGAAGCCAGGTTGTTCCTTCCAAGTGGGAGTTTGGAGAAGTTAGCAGAATAAAGTGGTCTGAAACGCACACTGTACACTATTTTACAACACAATTAAAGACTACTTTACAGCTGTAGTTGAAAGAGAAGTAGAGCTACATTTGGTTTTTCCTTTACATTTAAGTTTTTCAAGAGTTTTCAAACTTTAGAACAAATGGGAAATTATCCCATAAAGAAGCAGTGTATGAATAATGAATGCACAATTTAGGCATACTACAATAAATGTAAACATTTTAATCAAATTAATTTTCATCTTCACGTGTCTCAGGCAAATGTTGGTAGGTAACATGGCTTTAAATTCATCACATACTTTATTTTACTGTAGTATTAATAAATGCTTCAATGCTTTGTTTGTTTGTGATTTTGTTTAATTATATTAATAAAATACAATCCCAGTAAGCACAGTTACCAACACACAATAAATAAACAAGCTGAGCTGTTTGCCGACAGAAGATTTTATTTTGTTTTGACCCAGCTGCTACGCACTTTTATTTAATATTCCTGTCCAAAATATTTGTTCACAATATTCAATGTGTCCAGTGGATATACAAAACAGCTGTGAGGACTTTGGTGAAGTATAGGAAGAAGAGCTGAAATAACATGTTGAATTTTTCCAGTCAACCTTTATACTCCCTTATAAGGAACCAGAGAGGTCAGGATACTTTCTCTTAAACTAGAAAAGGGAACTCGACAGTGCGGTAAAAGCACTAGGGTTCACTGCAATTTCTGGATAAGAGGGCTGTTACTTCTCAATTGCGAGCTTCCTGTTATTCCAAAACTTAGAAAACAAAACAGCACAACAGTATGAAAAGCTCTGTAGATGCATAGTGGCTCAGAGCACCGAGGAGAAAATCTGCTATCTTGGAGACTGGGTGCCTGTACAGAGGGAAATGTTCAGGAAAATCTAGGTGGTTGCTATGACATTTTCATTACATAAGTGAAACGTGGCAAACAGGAAAAAAAATCTGGGATCCGTGTATCCATTATGAGAAAGCAGTTCGTTTCTGGTAGGGTTGATGACAACACTGAAACCTCTCCCGGAAAAACAGATCTCAGGAGAGGACTATAACCTGTAAAGAATGCTCAGCTGTTGCAGGGCATGCACAGGGAGAATCTAGAGATGCCAGCACATCTCTGGGGGCGGGAGCAAACGGGAACACTGAGATAAAACCCTTGAAGGGAACCTGTGAGCTCCACACGGAAGGACACCCCGTCTGGAATTCAGCCATGAGCTGTGAGGCTGCTGCACAAACCTACGCTCTACGCTTTAGTCATTTACCCCAGTCTTTGCTTTTATGAGCCTGCCAAACAGTGGCTACCCATAGTGATTGGAAAGACTTTTCTTTTACTTTCAAGTTAACCAAGATGGCCGTCCAGCCGCAACGCTCTTGTAATCTGACTCAAATTCTAGACCCAAGAGCTGTGAGACAGCAATGCGTCTGCCAAGCCAGGAAAGGACCGTTACAGGCCTGCTTATCCTACCTGCAGTGTCAATATGTCTATCGTGCTTTCAGCAATTTCACTTGTTATGGCTTTGCAAAAAAAGATTAGAGTCAGGAGGTGACACACAAAGACCGCCTGCGAACCACCACTGAGAAATAGGTCAGAAAACTACAGTGACTATTCTCATTTAGCATGCTCGTCCAATTTCAATTAGTACAACTCATTAAGTAATGAGCAAAAATGAAAAGTAGAGAGGTAGCTTTTTTTTGTCTGGTTTCTACTTTCATTCCTCTTTATATGTGCTGGAATCTGCAAAGCATTCACAGCAGCCCTATTTATAGAGACTGGAGTTATCAAGTCTATTAATTTAGTGCCACGGCCCTCAGGGATTCATACACTGCTGTTAAAATCTTTTAATTTATATGTTAATTTATCTGGAAAAAAAACCTCTTCATTAAGTCTCATAAGTAACTTCTTTGAGTGAAAACTGTATTGTTAGGTATTTTGATTTATTATCTGAAAGTTGCTTCTCCTGCTGAGGAGCGAGGCCATGAGGACTTGGAGCACGGCACTGCTCACTCTGGGACATCAGCCTGTCACACGGACAGAGAGAAAGAGACCCGTTAGAATAGCCAGTCATACTTAGCCAGCATATTATTACGAGGTGCAAGGATCCAAGAGCACCAAAGCAAAACCCAGGCAGACTCAGGAGGACATTCAAGCTCCACACAAAAGGCACTTCAGGGCAGGACCGAACACAGGACCCAAGAGCAGTGTGGCAGCACCTCTTCCCTCCCTGTCACCCAGCAGGTGTTTATTTTTTAAAATAAAATCTTCCAAGACTCCAAGCTGCTGAAAAGTCAAAGTAAAACATTAATTTCTGTGTAAGCATTTTGATATTCTAAACCATGTTATTCTAATAAATATTTCAGTTAGCTAGCTTGGCAAGTTAATCAAAATGAACTAATAATATAAGAGTTAAGTACACCAACTCTTTTCTGTAAACAGTTCATTGAGAACTGAACTCACAACAACATAAATTCTGAGCTTGTATCTGAGCTGAACTTTGAACTTTCCAGAGCTGATGGTACATTTTCATTCTCATCCAGGTCTGCTCATCCTAAATTGATCAGAAATTAACAGTTTTCTATTCAGAAATAAGTTGATATACAGTAATAATAAGAGAAAGCTCTTTATTAGCAAGTTAAGGAGAGACTGCATGAGGTATGTTGGACACAATGCACTTTTTAAACTAAGGACTAAGTGCAGAATATAAATTCTACAGAAGCAAGCAGATCAATTAGACATTTCAGTTAGCACCAGAAATTAAAGGTCCAGTTGGAATGAGACACAGCAGTCCCTCAGGACCTGAGCTGAGAGCCACAGCACTGAACATTTGTGAAGTAAAAACACAGTTCTGGCATCTACTGCATTGTTGTAATCAAATAATTTAATTAAGGATTCAATAAGCTTAATTAATAAAGAACATTAACCAAAAGAGGGATACCCTAGGAACAAGAAGACTGCAGTGTTTTGAGACAGTGTGGCAACACGTATGTGTGGGAACATACGATTGTTATATAATGAACTCTCCCTTTTGGAACTGCAGTGTGCGCTCTGATTTTTATTAGTGAGCAATGGAGGCTTAGTCATGTTTTTCAGGCGCAACATAATGGCACTGTTTATTGCCTTCTTTTTATTGTCAAAGGTCTCAGACTGTTACCATTGTAACAACATTTCCAATACATTGTTTTGGTTGCATTGGACACATTTTAGCGATAGATAAG